TTATTATTATTATTATTATTATTATTATTATTATTATTATTATTATTTTTTTTTTTATCATTATACACATGTCAGTTTGTGCCAGGGAGAAACCTCTTTAAAAATGTATGCATTGATTGAGTGTGAGAATGGACAGAGGGATGGTATGTATTTTTTTTACACAAAAAAATCTTTAAAGAGGTAGTTACGTATGCTAACAATTATATGTCTACAAAAGCCTGCAAAAACTGTCTGCAAGGTGCCACGGTGAGTCATTGTTTCCCTCTCCAAGTATTTTTTTTTTTAGCACAAGAAAGATGGCAGTTGAAGCTTGATTGGCCAGACTGAAAAACAGAATTGGTCTTTGAAAGTGGGTGAGTCATGTACAGGCAGGGGTCAGCTTTTTTATCCAGACGAACAGCATTGTTGATCTTGTGTTGGATGCTTGCGGGTTCTCCCCATATTTCTCCCCGCTCCACAACTTTGTGCTTTGTTTTTCTTCATGTCAGACGCGATTCAAGTCTGTGAGAACCTGCCGTCCCCAGCGGGAAAGCACTTCAAAGTACGGCTAAACACACCCACACACACACACTCAAAACTGAAAAACACCCCACCCCACCCGCTGCTCCTCTCCTTCTCACTCCTTCGTCCAGCCTCCTCCTCCTCATCCTCAGTCTCAGATGATGATCTGTCAGCCGCACTGGCTGAGAAGAGAAAAAAAGATCAGACGCAGATATATGTAAAGACATATTTTCAGGCTGCACAGTCAGGAAAAACTTCAGCCCCACATGCCTCAAACATCTTCTACAGCTGAAATATGAAGGAATGCATCTTTGTTCACCAACATTCAAGTTTGAGACACTTGGTGAAGTTTGGAGGAGAATCAATATTATTTAGCTGATGGCCGACTTTGGCCAAATATAGCTCGTCATATGCTATGCATCAGTAACTGCTCCTGATGACTCAGTTTGTACTCCCACTAAAGGAGACACACAGGTGGGAATGAAGACTGCCGACCAGATTCTGTAATGGCCTTTAGAAATATTGAGCTGAGCTCAACTAAAAAATGTCATCTATTGCAAAAAAAACCAAACAATTAATTTGGTTATGCTCTGACTTTCAGCCTTCACAGACACGTACACACATCGTAAAGGATTTAACGTGAATAAATCCATCATATAGCTGAACCAACACAAGACAAGCCAATTAAACAGCGAAGCAGGACATCCAGAAACACCGTGGAGCACACAGTGTGAAACCAAGTGTGATCATTAATAAATGAAGACAACCTTTTCTCCTTTAACTCCTTAAATCACAAAATCTTGTCAGAGGATGTTGTGTCAGATTTAAACCTGACACAGTTTTGAATGCTGGTGGAAAAAGTTTTTACAATCAAATATATTTGAATACACATTTGAACACCTAATCAAGTACACAAAGTCGCTTGTAGTTTTCTTTTTTCAGGATCTATGAGAGACTCAACCTATCTAAGCCTCTGTTTTTATACCCAATTACATTCTTGATCAGTGTCCATTTGTTGCATCAAGCACATGTACATGCAGCCTAAGAACATGTGCAACCACTGGTGGACAAATGTTTTCCATTTTTCTGGCAATTAAAAGTCTATTCAGGTGAATGGCTGTTTTTCCATAGTGTCTCAGGAGACATTTACATCCACACTTGTCATAAGAGAGCAGCTCCCTGCATCCAATTTCACCCCTGAAGAGTCCCAAGAGATCTTATCTCAATGTTTCTGTGGGATATTTACATCTATACTTGTGTATACCACAAAACCCTTTCAGTGTAATACATATATTCTAAATGATAGATACATATTGACATAATTCACTTTGTAAAATGTAAAATCGAAGGCTTGAATAATTGGAAATCCAACCCAAAATGATATACTTTGTGAAATTTCTTATCATATTTGGATATTTTTTCTTATGTGATTTCAGGATGTGACTATAAAGAGCAGCACGACAGACCCCAAATGTTGCTCCGGTATCCAAGCATCCAGCACAAAACCTCGATACCAAAAAGCCTGCTGACACAAAATGGATTCACAACAAAAGACAGCAGGCTTTCACTGGAAATATCAGCCCGTCAACTTCACAGTTCTGTGCACAAAGCGCTACACAAAGCCCAAATCTTTTCCTGGTTTCCATGCATATCATTATAATTTTTGATCCATTTTTGCTAAAAAAAAAAAAAAGCCCACCTAATTTCCTTGCCAGCGGTGGTCTTCTGTTGTCATGGCACCTGGCGGTCTTTAAATAACAGTCTGGCT